TGGCAGGCACACCCAGGCCCTCAAAAATGCATGGAGGTGTGGGGCATGGGCCAGCCTGTGCTGTTTGTGTTGGACTCAGCATGCTAGGAATTAATTCAATTCAGCTGCTAATTGCCTCAGAAGTGTGGGGCTGTGTCAAACAGATGCATGGAAGGTACAGCAAGCATGGCTGGGGAGGAAGGCTGGCCCCATGCTGTTTTGCTCAGTGCTGTCAGACTTTGGTATCTCACGTCTCCTGGCTGCACCAGCCCCAGTCAATCTGCAGGGTGTGGAGGTGTTTTGGCTGTGACCCTCTTTCTCAGGAGCTTCACTATGGAGATGTGATGCTCAGTTTCTGGTGGAGAGAGAGCAACCCCCTTCCCTGCTGCACATCATCTCTTCTAGGATGGAGAGGAGAACTGGTGGGCAAGAGGCTTTCCCAGCCCCAAATCCTCATAAGCCCTGCTGGTTCTTCCTGCATTGGCTTACCCAGGTTTGCTCTTATGCTTGTTTGTAAGTTCCACAGTGCTCTCACTGGGGGGAATGGAAGATTTTGCCCCACAGAAGGGCTTCTCCCTTGCTCAAGCATGAGCTGACCCCCTCCATTCCTGTACCTGGTCCCTGACATAGTGCTGGGGTGGTGAGAGAGTTCACTCACCTTGATGTGAGCACAGCTGAGGGCAAGGAGGAGTGGAGAGGCCTTGAAAGCAAAACCCTGTGCATTGTACAGTGCGTTTCTGGGACCTCCAGACATGCTAGCACCCAAATCCTGGATGCTGGTTGTGGGCTGCTGAGTGTTTACCATTGCAGGCTGGACACACCATCCTTCCCCTTTGAGGAGGTCCACTTCACCACTGTTTCCTGCAGCATTAGCTGTCCATCCAAGTGGGAGGGGATGTCCTTTCCCAGAGCTGGGTCGGATCTAGGGGAGGAGGAGGTGCTACCAGGTGCTATCCTGGCCTTGGGAAGAGGCCACTAACCCTACCACCATCTTTCATGCAGCCATGATCATGCTGCTGATCCAAGGCATGTTGACCCCAGGGCAGTGTGCAGGGAGAGGGCTCTGTGCCAGGTCAAGGACTGAAAACCCCTGGCAGACTCGGGTCTCTGGGGTGGACATGGTCCTTTGGTGCTCATGCCTCTGAGATTTAGCATTGACTGTTGCTTTTGAGCCTCTGTGGGCTAAACCAGGATGCCTGTTCTGTGGTTTCATCCCTCCTGGATGCTTAGCCCTGCCTGGCTTGCTTCCCTGCTGGCCTGCATCCTGTCATCCTGCCTGTGCCCTCTTCCACCCTTCTCTCCCTGCTCCTGCTTTCCTTCAGTAATTGTCCTTTAAAAGTTCAAACACCTATTATCCAAACGGGGATTAAGCACCATCTGTACAAACTTTGAGGCCATTTTCAGTGACTGGACGGAAACAGATGACTCAGATAGGCATTGTGGCACAGATCATCAGGGACCCTGGCTGTGCCAGAGGATCTGAGTGGAGCAGCCCTGTTAACCCAGGCACCTCCCAGCAGCCTTCTGAGGCTCATGACAAAGCAGCCAGCAGCAGTTTTCAGAGCAGTGGGATTCCCCCTGATTAATGAGCTGTTTCCAGACAGCCCTCCCTCATGGCACAGCTGTAGTCCATCTGGTCCTACTGTTAGACCCTGAGATCTGGTTTGGAGTGGTGCTGGTGAGAAGGCGATGCAGTGTGTAGGCTTCATGGCAGAGCACTCAGGCCAGGAAGTCCATGGTTAGTGTGGGACCTCCCAAGACCTTCATACTGTGGTCTTTTTCCTCAAAATGGTGACCAAAGATCAGTGAAGGTAGCCCTGGAAGAAGGTGACAGTGTCCACTGATAGATGTCAGGAGATGTCTTCTCATGGGAGCAGAAAAGTTGTGCTCAAGTGCCTTCTCTCCACATCACCTCACCTGCTTTGTACATGACATGTTTTTGTAGCCCCTTGGGACTGGGATGGCATCCAAACTGAGGACTTGGTAGTACTGCATGGGAGGCAGAGGACCAGGCTGCTGGCTGTGGTGGCCCAGCAGTGAGGAACATTTGGTCAAAGTAGGATATGCAGCAGGATGTTTTGCAGGCAACAGCAAAACCCTGCTTTAGCAAGGTCCAACAAAAACCCCCTTTGATCCTGTGTCCTGAAGGAAGTTAGGGGAAACAAAACAGATTAAGGTTGGGAAGACTGAGTGGATTAGCTGTTTTGAAGGATTTGAGATGATTTAGCTGATCCCCCGCTTACAGGAGGTGGATCTGGGTCCTGAGGAGTGTAGGCACAACTAAGCCCAAGGAACTGAACAGGGATCCCTGGGTGATGGATGTGAGGATGAGGAGTGAAGTACTCCTGTTTTTTGTTTGTAGAGGAACTGTAGCTTGCAACTTTTTCCCTTGCTGTGTTTGTTATTCTCCAGCTCCACCATGGCTTGTTTCTGACTTGCCCGAACTCTGCTGATTTGCACGATGTGATGCTAGAGCATCTTTGAGCTCAGATCCAACAGCAAGGGTGAGGCAGGTCTGGACTTTGGGTGATGGCAGTGGTGTGGGAAGAACATCAGGAAAATGCTCCTCTTTTGGGAGTGGTTTGCTCAGCTCCTGCTCATGGTGCTGTCCATGCTCACTTCATTGGGATGGGAAACTGGTGTGAGATATACTGGGGGTGTGCATGTATCTGAATCTCGTATCCTGTGCACAGCTCAGTGCCTTCACAACCTGAGAGGTGATGGCTGGGACAAGAAATAAGTAGGTCTCAGCAAGGAGCTGTGATTAAGACAGCTTTACTACCACAAGTGAGGCCTAGACAGATACAATAAGGTGAGAAGTTGGTAAACTTAGAGTTTAAGTAAAATGATTGGAAGACAGTGCTAAGGCAAGTAAGATTTTGCTTGGCTTAACACAGAAAACAGAGAAGAAAAGGAGAAGAAAGAATTTCCCCTGTGAAAGTCTCAGCTGGTTCAATTTCTAGTGACAGTCAAAGAGTTAAAGTGATACGTTGGGAGTTATGAATGTTTATCTAAAAGAAAAGTGGCAGGTGAAAGGGATAAAATAACACAGTTTGTAAAGCAATGCAATATGTTTGAATTATCCAAGGATCAGACTAGGAATTTGGAAGGTAATATTGGGTAGAAGGAAATGAGAGATGGAGACAGAAATAGGATGTGGCAAAACCAGTCTGAGGTGGCTTTCCCATTGGTTACTGCAAAGTACAAAAAAGGGGTTGGTATCATTAGGACCACTGTGAATTTGCCTGTTAGAGGGGCTTTTTATTATACTTTCAGAGTTAAGCTCAGGGCCTCTGCTGTATCAGGATGCAGAACAGACCCTCCTGAGCTGGGTTTGGCTGGAAAAATGTGCAGAGTCTGTTGCTGTGCTCAGAACGCCCCTGAACGGCCCTTGTGCTCAGATGACCTGTGGAACACCCAGTGCCATTTCTGACTGTGTGCTGCATCCTTTGCTTCCCCCTCAGTGTGCTGTGAGTGCTCAGCCCCATGGCAGAATTGCATTCCCCCCAAATCTCTTGTGGGCTCAGCACTTCCTTCAGCAGTGCTGAAACAACTGCTTTCTGTCTGCCCAACCAGGTGCTTCTGCTCTTGCCTCCATAGTACTAGGAGGTTTTCTTCATGGGGAAGCATGTGGGCGAAAGGGTGTTGGCACCACGGGAAGATGCATGGGATGCAGCTGGGAAACTGCTCTGCTGGGAGAGCTTGGGCACTTCCAAAGGGCTGCTCTTGAACTGTGGCAGAGCCATGCGGGAAGATTTAAAATAGATTATCCCACTGCCCTCACTCTTAATTGACTTATATAACTTGTCTTCACCTGCTCTCCAGGCACCATCCCCACTAGCCCAGAGATCAACTTTTCCTGGGCTGTTTACTTGGTTCTGGGACATTTCCAGCTCATGCTGGCTGAGAAACTCAGAGAGTACTTGGGGAAGTTGCAACACCTCCAACCATTGCCTCTGCCTGGAGCCTTCTGCCTGGACAGCTCTGAAATCTCTGTTTGCATCCTCAGCCACATCTTCATCATCACCTGTGCTCCCCTAAATTGTATATTGTTGCCTCCAGCACCTTAATCTGACAAAGCCCTTGGATGGCAGCTCATAGCTGTGATGTTGGAAGATGCTTTCCCCGTTCCATGAGTGCCTTTTCTTATCATGGTTTCTGTGCCTTTGGCACCCTCCAAGGAGACCAGGAATGTGTTCCAACCTTTGTGAGGTTTACAGGTACAATGACAGACACCAGCCTTCTCTAACCAAGAGAAGGTAAAGGAAAAAAATCTAAGGCCAATAAGTAATTGATGCCTTGACTTCCTGAACCTCCAGGCTCCCCAGAGGGAGGGGCTCCAAGATCACCATAACGCCAGTGACACTTCTTACCAGCCTGACATTTCCTAACTGTGTCACATGGAAAATTGAGATGATGAAGTGACTTTATTGAGAAAAAATATCACAAAGGACTGATTTAATTTGCATCTAACTCAGCTCTGAGGCCCTCCCAGATATGCTAGGTTTCTTGGTGGAAATTAAATGGTGGTATATTTTTCAGCTAGTCAGGTAGCTGAGTACTCACCCCAGGCCAGGTCTCAGATGAGCTATCTGCAGGGCTTCCACTACTGTTTCTTTACTTTGGTTGTTCTGCCTTTTCTCATGGTCATCTCAAAGTTTACTTTTCTTCACAGCATCCTGGAGATCTGGTCTGTCCCACTCTTCCCTTGTGGTCCCAGACCCTTTTAGAGTGTAACCATTCTGCAGTGGCTCTCCAGAGAAGCTGTGGCTGTCCCATCCCTGGAAATGTTCAAGGCCAGGTTGGAGCGACTTGGTCTAGTGAAAGGTGTCCCTGCCCATGGCAGGGGGTGGAACTGGATGAGCTTTAAGGCCCCTTCCTGCCTAAACCACACTGTGATTCTGTGATCTTCATGGTGTCCTTGAAAGTGCCTGCAGGCAGACCATCACTTTGTATTGGCCTCATGGAAGTTGTCTGTGCAAGGTCTGTTACCCCGGTAATTCTGAGATATCACATGAATACTGATGTTCCTTTTTATTTTTCCCCCAGAACTCCATGGTTTTTCACATTTCAAATTAAGCTACATAGTAACCACAGTGCCTAGACCCTCTGCTCTGTTCTGAACATATTCTATATTTCTCTGGTCATTCTTGTACATCTTGTTTTACAGCCAAGGCCTCTATAACCCTGCTACATTAAATTTTCTGCAACAACTTCCTTCCTGGAGAGTAGCTTAACAAGAAATTCTGCAGTAAAACAGGATGCCTGGACTGTATTTTTTCAGAAGCAGCCTGAAAACTCCCTTTTGAAAGTTCTAATTCTTGGGTTCATGAGCTATTTGCTGGTACACTTCTATACACCATCTTCCTCTCCTTCAGAAAAGTGGAGACTTTGAAGCTATAAATTTGATGCTGTCAGGTGCTGCTCTCTTGGGTGTCTTTGGTGGAAGCTGTAGATATGAGGGAAGATGCAGCAGCACTTCTAGTTCCTACATTCTTTCCTGGCCACAGCAATTTTTCTGACAGTTCCTTGGCATGTTGTGGGGTCACACATCTCTTGTTTCTTAACCAGCAAAACAATGATGTACATGAAATCATCTTGCAAACCAAAGGATGGGAGCTGGAGAAGCTAATGGTTTCTCAGATTATGCTGTAGGGAAGAAGTCAATCCATTATGCTCTGATTTGGTGAGCAAATGGCAGGTACATTGTTCTGGCAGTAGTTTCTATAGCTCTGTGAGATCACCTATGGGTACCTAGGGATGATAAGATAGGCAAGAGATGACCAGCCATCCTAGTTTCAGTTCCTATATTACAGAATAGTCACCAATGAAGACAAATTACCTACCTGCTGGTTGGCTGCTTTGCCACCCTGCTTGATAGTCTTCCTTTGGAAAGGGCTTGAGGTGGTGGTGAGACTTCCTCATGGACTGCATTTGGCTACTCCCAGCTCAGGAAGCTGAGACACCTGAAGAGACAGGCTATTGCATTTTCCCACCTCTTCTTATTAAGCTTTGCTGTAATAGCCTCACAACCCTCTGGGTAGAGAATTTCCTCCTTACACCCAATCTAATTTCACCTCTTTTAGCTTAAAATAGTTTCCCATGGTCCCATCAGTATCTGCCCACGTAAATTATGGGAGCAAAGCTGTGATAATGCAACAGCTGTCCTAGACCAGGGCCAAGAGGGACGAGTAGGCTCAACAGCCACTGAGGGGTTTGGGGTGGATTATTTTTTTGCACTTCTGAGCAAATGACTCTAATTAAGACTTGCAATTTGTGCTTTTATTTGTGGTGATGAAGAGCTGGAAGGAGAGGATCATGGTGGATCATTTAGATCTTTTGGACCAAATATCTAGTGTTGAGGCACTGCCAAGAGCAGTTTGGGGATCCACAGTGGTATGGAGCTCACCTAGGCAACACTCCTTGCACATGCACTTGAGAAAATACTGATGGTCAGATCTGGGATGCAAGAAGGAATGTGTTGCCAGGTCTGGAAGCCAGCCTAGGAGAGATCATAGCTCCTGAGGACTGAACACAGGCACAAAGATGGGATTTGCATGTAGCTGCATCTCTGGATCTGTGGTAAGGAGCTTGGTGGCTTGGTGGCTGCAGAAACACCCCGGGCACATATGTGAGCACTGAGAAGGGCAGAGCCTGGTGCAGATGCTGCTTGAGCTCCAGGTGTTAGTGTGGTCCAGCCCAAATGCTGTGATGCAGGGCCTGATCCTCAGCCCAGATCCTGCCCCCTTCTCCCCTCCACCCACAGAGTCTTACAATTCAGTCCAAGGTAGGTTGCACAATTTATTTTCCTGTGATTAAAGTAGGATTTTGGCAGTCAGGGTCAGGAGGCCTCTCTGAGGAGCGCTGGCTGGGTGCCCTCCTGTTGTCATGGTATCATGCTGCTGTAAAGGCTCTGCTTCTACTGGGTGTCTGTCCTTCAGCATGGCCTTGTGCTGCAGCCTAGTGCTGCTGAAGGACCCACTGCATGGCCAAGGCACCACTGACATCTTCAGCAAGTACAGGTGGAAGTGATGGTCACCCCAGTGTGGGTTCTCCTGTGCCAGACTGATGTGACGCCTGTCATGCCCAATTATAGGTGGCATGACATGTGTGGTGTGGCAACTCTAAGGAGAACTGAGCCTCTTCTTTACCTGCCCATGCAGTGAGACACCATTCTGTCCTTGAAGTATCTCTTTGGTAGTCCTAGATGCTTTCCTACTGTCTCCGTCACTTTGCTTCCCTACAGCCAGCTGGTAAAGTCATGTGGATAAAGGGAGAGAAGGAGATGCAGAAGAGTTACTGTGCTCATTGCTGAAGGAATATGCAAAGGGATTTGCTGTAATGTTCACTGATGGTGTGAGGGAGGGAAAGGATGTGAGTACTAACTTATGCTCCATCAGCATCATTAATGTCACCCACAGTGATTTAATTGCTTTGCAAGGAGCAGTGGGTGAGGCTGAACATGCCCAGGGAGGGAGAATGAGATAGTTGCGAGTGATGGAAGTGTCCTTGCCTAATAAAGGGCACGAGGGTGATGTGGTCAAAACAGCTGGAGAAAAATACCAGCTCTGCACATGTGTTTGGCTGTGCCGGGCTTGGACTGGATCTGGGATAGAGAGTTGGGAAATGTGAAGCCCAGAGTTTGAAATAGCTGAGACTAAAGGTACCTGACACCTAGGTGGATTTTCTAGCAGAAAAGGCAAAGAAAACAGAATAAGCAGATCATGATGGTAAAGTTTTGAATTTGGGGAATGGGGAAAAAAAAAAAAATGAATTTACCCTTCAGAGCAGGGTGGAGAGGACTTGAAAGCGATGTCCTATTTTTGCTATGATGATGTCGAGTTGGCAGTGGGACATCCAGGAAGGTTTATGAGGGGGAGAGGCTGGGTGGAGATGTCAGCCTGTGAGTTCTCAGAGGAAGGATGAGCTTACTAAGGAGAAGGTGTTGGGGGACTGAGGATGAGGACCTAGTGCTGGGCCTGTGGGGCTGGAATGGGGCCGAGCATGTGGCAGGATGCAGTGGTGGGGAGAGGCATAGTGTGATGTAGTCTGATGTGTGTGTAATGCAAAGGACAGGTGGAGTAGGCAGAGGGCATTGGAAAAGGAGTACACAAATATCTTGCTCTGTCTATGGTCACAGAGAAGCTAGTGTCTCCATACACCTTGTTGCAGGAGAAGAGTGAGACATCTTTTTTTTTCACTGGAGACAATTCCTTACCTGAGGCTGAAGCTGGAATGGGGAAAAGAAGTGCTGAAGGAGTGTGATCCACTAAGGGAAGAGAGAAGCTGTTGCACGTGAGGGTTTTTGGGAGGCTCAGGCATAATTTTCTCCCGTCCTACCATGCTCTTTCTGCAACAAGTTAAACTTAACAAGATATCCCTCAAGCCCTAACACCACAGAGGCCAAAGGGAGAGAAGACACTGATTTTACCATGAGCCTATGAAAAGGTGAGCTTTGAGAGCATGCAAATGGACAGCTACAGCTAAAGAAAGAAGATGAGGCAGGGTGTACAGCTGGACCCAGCAGCAACCCCTGCTGAAGCAAGAAGCTCCAGACTATAGGGAACAGTGTGGAAAGGATACAGCTTCTGGCTTGGGGGAAGGACAAGGGACAAGCAAAATGTACTGTGGGCAGCTTGGAGCATACCTGTGTATCAGGCACTGCATATGCTCCAAATCCAGCAAACTGCATCACAGTGATGGAGGCAAAAGGCAGCAGATCCATGACTTGGCATCTATGGGCAGTTTTCGTCCCCTCCCAGCTCAAATGCACCTTGAGCCCGCTGGCAGGATGCTTCCAGCAGCACGCAAGGTAGCTGTGGCTCCTTGGCTGTGGGCAGGACAGGGGAACACTGTTCTAAGCAGATAGATATTGATGCCCTCTCCACAGGAGGAAGTCACAGACTTACTGAGATCTAAAATAAGTTGCCTTTTAAGCCAGTGGTGTATCAAGTGGTTAAGGCAGAAGCAAGCTGTACTTGCACTGATGGGAAAGGAGGGATGCCATCTGTGATCCAAATACCAGCATCTCCTGAGAAGAGACTGGAGGAGGGACAACTTTAGTGTTCTCTTTGCATTGTCAGGAGGCACCATGTGGGCACCTCCCTTCCCAGACTCTTTGGAGGAGACCAGCAACCATGAGGTGTCTGCAGCACATTATGGTTTTACACAGCCCAGTGGAGCTGATTTCAGGACAGGAAAACCCCATGGCTTGTTCAGCACAAACTTACTATTTAATAGACAAAATAAATATGAAAACACATTTCTAAACCCCTCCTGTGGTGTTCAAACTTACAGTTATGAGAAGAACCAGAGTGCTGCAGAGCCAAACTAACCCTGGGTGGCATTTGCAGGGCTTAGCTTTCATTGCAGCCTGAAAAAATCCCAGGTACAGAGATTATCTCCATGCTGATTTGAATTTTCTTGTTCAGCTTTGGCCCTCATCCTAGATGGACAAGGTGCAGAAGACTTGGCCAATGGCCTGAGATTTGTGACCTCCTCTGCATGAGCTGGAAAGGGAAGAGGGAAGAACTGTCTCTAAGGTTTTTGAGGATTTGCAGCCTTGGGTGGCTGATGAAATGGAACTACAGGAGGCAAAGCTTAGATTTCACCACCTGCCCCCCTGCAACCTCCCCCCACCCCGGGATTTAATGCTGTACACTTGGCCAGCTGAGAGAGGCAAACCTTGCTCTGGTGAGATCTCTGGTTTGCACTGAAATGGATCAACCCATGGAGCTCCACCTCACGACTCACCTAGGGTGTCCCTCACCACCATCTGGCACATTTTACTGGAGGTTTATTGGAACTGGTGCTGAGCAGGCAAGAGAGAGGCAGCTTGGGTGTGCTGGGGTTTGCCCTAACACAAACCTCCCGCACCCTGCACTGCTTAAAGTAATTTGTCAGCACATGGTGTTTGGAGACCTTCCAGTGGCCACAGGTTCTCCCCCAGCCCATCACTGCTATGGCACAGATGGGATTTCACATATGCCCATGCATTCCCCCAACCTTTTCCCTCTCAAGGAAGAGCAAGAATATTGCAGGTTTTGCAGGGACCCCCTCCTTCAGCTGGGAAGGCGATGGCCACAGCTCTGGGCTTTCCTGGACCATGCAGGGAGCTCCCTCCTACACAGGAGGGCTCAGCAATGCTGAGCCTCACCTGTTGGCTTGAGGTGTCATTTTGAGGTTTTTCTCTGTTTCCTTTTTACTTCTTGACTCATAGACCAGTGGATGAGGGAGAGAGGAACTGGTTCACTTTCCACCTTCCCTCACAGTGCCCCTCTGCTTATTTCTCCAACTATTTCGTACTGCAGCCCAACAGCAAGGACTCTGCACTAACCCAGTCCTAGGCAGAGGGAAGCCAGAGCAGGCAGGACAGCACCTTATCCTCATGGCAGTGTCCCAGGGAGCAGGACAGGACAGCTGAGGCCCTGTTGCACTAAGTCTCTGTGACCAGGACACACACATGGCAGCATTCCTCTGGCTGAGTCCTTCTCTTGTGGCTTCCTAAGGGTCATACAGCAGTAGTGACAGAGCACCAGCATTCCTCCACACCCAGTTGCTCCACTTTATACTTTTGCGTTTCTCAGCATTCATCAGGATAGGGACTGTCCCCCAGTGTCTTCCTGAGTGAGGAGAACAGGCACATGGAGGAGAAAGAGGGATGTTGTGGGATGCCTGTGAGGTGCGGGCAATTATGGGACAGAGGAGAAGAAATCAACTTGGTTTTTTCCCGTTCGCTCTCAGCTCCATTAAGTGTCAGTGGATTGCAGGTATCACTGCCCTTCACTGTCTCCAGTGGAACCAAGTACTGGAGAAGAGATGGGGGAAAGGGAGCATGGTGGGACCATCGTGTTCTCCAATAGCCTTAGGCAGCCACTGAAGAGCTTCTATAAATCAGAGCAGTCCCTGGAGCTGCTCCAAAATCCATCCATTCCCAGAAGGCCTTCGAGCATGCTACAACAAGGAGGTACACGAGTGCCTCACATTGCCCTCATGAACTGATCACCCAGGCTGGGCTCCATGTGGAACTTAACTCTTGGAGGACAGTGCCACCCTGTCACCACCTGCCTGTCCCTTGCAATGCACCTGGCTGCATAGGCTGGCTGTGCTCCTTCCCTTCCTGAGGCTTAGCCAGGCCAGCGGCTCTTCAGGATGCTCAGCACGTGCCTTTAAACAAACCAGAATAACTATAATACAAGATTTCAAATGCTGTACTACCCTTGCCTTAAACACTTGTCTGCAGCATTCCAAAAGCAGCAGGAGCCCATCCGATCAGAGCTGGCATCACACAGGTTCCCGGACAGCCAGAGAGCAAATGTTTGTGCTGGCACAGGACACCAAGGGGCTCTGGCTTCAGCAATACATACAGCAAAGCAGACAAAATAAAATAAAAAAAGGCAACAATGATCAGTTTTCTTAAACTTTAAATATTTTTTTCTTTTAAATCTGTTTTTCTCTCTGGTTCTGTCTCTGTAAAGAGCTGTGCTCTCCCTGCAGCATCTGGGTCACTTCCTCAGTCCTGGCTGTGGGGCAAGGAAGAAGCAGTGTGGGTTAAAGAAGATACAAGTGGGTGCCCTGCCCCGTGCATCACCGGCATGTGTGGATCTCTACCACCCGATGGCAGGGTTTGCACTTAACGGAGCAGCACCAGTGGAATTTGCAGCTGCACCTTTCCACAACCTCCACTTCGTCCGTGTGAAAACCACGACCACAACACATCAGCTCGCAGCCATCAATGGCCTTGGAGGTCTTGTTGCACTGCCGCCCACTGGTGCCCAGGACCCCATTCTTGAGGTCGTGGTCACAGAAGTCAGGACTGGAGTCTAGGTAGACAAGGTCCTCATCTGTGTGTGGCTTGAACTGGGAGTTTTTGGGTACCAGCACTTTGGTGGATCCGATCTCGCTCTGTTCGACCTCTGTGGCACCGTCAAATTTCTCCTTCAGGATATTGCCCACTTTGCGGAAGGGGGGCATGGCTTTCCAGCACGTCTTGAACTCACATGAGCCTGACACACCATGACACTTACATTCCACCCGCATGTTGTTCAGGATCGCCTGGGGGAACAGACACAAGGAACAAGATGGGATAATCAGTGCGGGATGGACATAGCAGGAAGGGTGCAACGGATAGGGCTTGGGAGGGCTGTGCAGAAAATGCTGCTGGGTGGGTATGGGATTAAAAGAAGCCCAGATGGCTCAAGCTGTGGCTGCAGAGCCTGGCTGCGATGCTGCAGAGCGGTGCCAACTGCCTAGGTTTTTTTCTCCTTGCTATTACCTTTCTCCCTGCCTCGTTGTTGTGGAGGTTCATTAATGCTCTGTTGGAAGAGGCCCCTTTGCTCCTCTCACGGATGTCGACGAAGGACTGCGAGAAGGCCACACCATAGGCGATGTTATCGGAGCAGCCCGACCACTGGAAGCCTGAGGCAGAGAGCACAGATGAGACAGGTACTGCCACCATGTAGTGCTTGCACTCTCCAGCCCTGCTCTTCCTAAAATCCAGCTGCCCTGCCCTCTTCTCTGTCTTGCTACCTACTAGTCTGCACCACATGGGAACAGGGGAATCTAGGGAGTGTGGCCCTGGGGAACACATGGACAAAATGTTTTCAGTCCAGTGGGTGAGGCACCCAGGTGTCTTTTAAGGCAGTCACATGGACTAACCAGCATTTTGGTCTTTTTAAGCTTTTTCCTCTTTACTGGATGGCTCCAGAGAGTGAGTTTGAATTGCAGGTATTTTGGCTACTTTGCGTCCCCCTGCAGCTGCAGCTGCTCCCCGTTCAGACACTCACCCTGTGGGCTGCCCCCTTGCACTGTGCGGTCACATCCACACTTGTCCAGCTCGCCACTGCTGCAGGCACGGGTCACGGCGAAGGCCACTCCTGCTGAAGAGATGGCATAGACGAACGCTGCCTCTCGTGTCCCTGGAATGGCACAAACCATGGTAGGAAAGGTGGCAGAAAGTCTGAGGCAACACGAGCGGGAATGCTGGAGGCAATTCAGCCTGCTGGCCAAAGCAGGTAGACTGCCACATGGGTTTCTTCTCCTCTCCCCTCTTAACTCTGGTGTAGCATATAAACTCCCCTAAAAAAAATGGCCTGAAAGACAGCCCTTGGCAAACATGCTATACAGAGCTATCAGGCTAAATCCTTTGCTCTGTCACTTCCTCCTAAGATAGAGGCAGCACGTGCAGGACCCTCATTGTCCCCATCCCCAGGGATGCTGTTGCTTAGTGCCAAGCCTGGACCTGACTCATCAGAGACCCCTGGGTGCTGGGAGATGTTTTGCAGAAGTGAAGGCCCATTCGTGCAATAGTGAAGAAGCTGGCAACTGCTCCACAACATTAAAAACATAAATGATGCATGAATGATAAAACCTGGCAGTAGGAGAGACAGAGGCTGCACTGCCAATGTGGGCAGAGCTCTCCAGAGCTTATATGGAAGACTGTCTTGCCTTGTGCTTGCAGGGTAGCTCTTCCATGAGATCTGTCCTGCATCCAAAATAGCTGTTTTCCACATCCAGGAACATTCCCTGGAGCTGCAGATCCTTGCTATCCTCCTTCACAGGGTTGTGTAGTTCGCAATGTCTTCTGAACTACCCTGCAAAACCCTGTTCTGCTCCCAAAGCACCTCACACAACCCCAGCGGTGTCCAGGGTGCAGTGCAGTCCCAGCTTTTGTGTCTACCTATGTGGTGCCATATAGTTGAGAAAAACTTGTTTTGGAAGTTGGGCGCATCCTTGGGCATGAACACAGAGTAGCAGGGCAGGGATTAGCTTTAGCAACACACAATCCCCACTATCCTCCAAGGCTGGTTGAGGGCACAAACCCTCCATTTTTGAGCAAGGAGGGCTGGTATTTGGGGTGGTCCCATGTTTGGTACAGAGGGGCAATGGCTTGTGAGCAGGCATCACTCAGCTTGCTGGTCAGAGAGAGGGCAGCTACTTTGGTGGTCGCATCCCAGACTTTGGTGGCTCAGCTGGCAGTGGCTGGGGAGGACCCAGCCAGTGTGGGACTGAACCGCCTCCAAGTTAATCAAGGTTAATAGTAGGATCATGTTGGCCGGTTTGTACTGTGGCTGCCTAAAAAGAGACGACTTTTAGTTTCTGGTATTTCTGGTATTTCCAGTCTCTGAACCTTCACAAGAAGAGCTCTTCACCCCGGCATTGAGGGGAAGAAAGCCAAATAAGGAGCCAGGGGGATGCTTTGGTCTAGGGATCCTGGGATGGGAGGTGAGATAGGGCCTCAGAGATAGCACCTGAAGGGAGGCAAGGGATGCTTCAGTGATCTTAAGAGGTTGCAGAGGGGCTTTCCCCTCTGTATTCTCACTCCAGTTCTCTGGTTTGATTACAGTCCTGTGCTTCTGGGAAATCAGGGTGCAGCTGGGATCAGAGGGGCTGAGGGCTGCCCTAGCCATATCCAGCCCTGAAGGCTGGTGGCGGGGGATGATGTTGCCACATATTCTTCCCATGCCAAGTGGCACCGAGCCATCCTCTTGATGGTGCCCCCATTGATGCTTTGCTCAAGAGTGGCCATGTGCCAGCCTGGCAGCAACCACTGCTTCAGCACTGCCCAGAAAGAGACTGAGTAAATGCACCCATGACTTTATGGAGTGGAGCTCCTGGGTTTGGTGGGGAAGAGATGAGACCAGGGTGACTTTAGGACCTTTGTTCAAACTTGGCATGTCCTTGTCAATGGGTGTGGAAAAGGTTCAGGAGAGCTGAGGAGCAGCAGGAGTCTGAATACGCTGTACCAAACATACTGAATAGAGCCCCACTGAAGTGCACAGGGACCCATCCACCCCAAGATCCAACACTAGATGGGCTATTCCTGACCCTCTCCAGCCACCAGTTCAGGGGCAAGCAGGCAAAATCCCACCTGCAGCCCACAAGACTGCTTTTATAGCCATTCTCCCAGCAGCATCACCCCAGACACATGTTCTTCCAGCTCACCTTGTGTCACCACCTTGCCAAAGACAGGCAAGGTGTCCAGTGTGGAGCAGTTCCAGCGGCGGTTGCGGAATTGGTACTGGCATTCTTCAATGGCCAGCTGGGCTCCACGTCGCACCGAGTCCATCACCTCCAGGTTCCTCTTGCACATCTGCACCTGGCGCTGGATCAAACCCTTCAGCTTCTCGCAGGTCTCTTCCTCGGAGATGCTCCCCACTGAAGACAGCTTTGCCAGGTACCTGCCATGACACCAGCACAACAGGTTAGGAGGCAAGGGCTGGGGGAGCTCATATTCAGCTGAGATACATGTTCAGCCTTCCAGAAAGCAAGGAGCCTGAACCTCTTACCCCCTCCATAGCTGAGACCTGCTGCCCATCTGGGGTCACCCTTAAATGTACCACAGCAGTGGCTCTACAGGATGCATTTCTGGCTGACAGAGAACAAGCCCAAGCAAAACAACCATCCCTCTGCAGCCTAGTTCCTGTCTCTTGGGGAGTCCCGCTGCTGGCTCCCCTTTGCCTCTGTTGCCTGTAAGGAAGATATTTTCAGCGCTGTCTGAAAGTGCCTGGTCAGGTCTCCTGAGTATTGGCATATCCAAGTGCTACTAGAAAAAGCCAGAGGTCTCCGAAGTCAGCCAAAACAAGCATGACAGGCACTTGGCTGCCAGCTCCATCTGCCACAGTGCTCCCACAGTGTGGCTGTGTGCTCATAACCAGCAAACATTGCCCCCCAAACCACTTCCCTCCTGGAGGCTGCTTTTAGCTGCCCCAGACCCCAGCAGGCAGGGATGGCCTCTGGGAGCTGCCAGGTTTCTTGTCACTTGGGATTCAAGCAGGGTTTGAAGCAGGGAAGCAGAATCAGGAGCCTGCCAGGGCAAAACTGCACAGGCTGGGCATCTCCTCCAAGAGCCCAGCTTATGAATAGGGCCATGAGGTCTTTGCTGATTTGGAAAAGACTGGCCATATGTGGAGACGACCATGTGTTCTGCTTTCCATAGCGCCATCTCAGTGAGTCACAGAGCTGCTCTTGGGTGTCAATATTAGGGGAATGAGGGAGCAAACACCTTGAAGAGCATGCATCTCAAAAACTCTCAGCATTTCCTTGTCCAATGTGTGGGCATGATGGTCCCTGCTGCACATCCTAGTAACTCAACCTCCCACCCCTTCTTGTGTTGTGGGCATGGTGTCCATGCTTGCTCATTTCCCAGTTCCATCCTCCTGCCCCAACCTCTGGAACACAAAAGGAGCTTAAGATAGACCCAGTCAGATTTTCCAATGAAGCTGGATAATCCAATGTGATAATCCAATATCCTCTACAACTATTAGTGACTGTGTTGGCAGGTGTGTATATGAGATGTCCTCCTTCCTCTGGCTGCAGGTAGCCACTTCAGATGACACTGCCATAGTGGAGCCTTGACATGTTGTGGACATGGAGGGTCCCCTGCATGGGACAGGTGTAACTCACACTTGCACCCATCCATTAACCACACTGAGCTTTACCGTCCTTGGGAATTGCCAGCATTGTCTCACACTGCTACCTTGTCTGCACCAAGAGCTGCAAGTACTGAGCTTTTTGGAAACTTCATTAATTGGCTCTGCATTTCCCAGCCCTACAGAACTTGTGGGTTTTTTTGTTTGTGTGTTTTTTTAACTCCTCCTCCCAAGTTGCAACATCCTGCAAAGGATTTTTCTTTTGAAGCCCTGCTTGTCTCCAAGAAGTGACTGTGCAAAAGTGGCTCCTGCTCCCTGCCTGTTCCCATGTGTCCCAGGAGCCAGATCTGCTGACTTCAGCCACAAAAGTTACCACAGCCTCTTCCTCCCATTAACCCTGCCAGTCTGCTCCAGGAGCAGAGAACAAGATTTTCTCTTCAGTGGATCAGCAGAATTATTCACCAGCTTGGTTTCGTGCTCACAAATGGAGAGGGGGGTGGGGGTGGCATGGGAGCCAGGGAGAAAGCTATCTTGGCTCATGGTGTCCGTGGGGAGTCTGCATGGCGAGATGTCAAAAGTATTCAGTTTTCCCTGTGTGTGATCATTGAGGCAATGCTTTGACAGCGGGAAGAGAGGCTGCTGGGGTTTCAGAGCCAAGTGCTGTTAGAGCCTTTATACCAGCAAATCATCTTTGTCCAAGGCTTCCTGCTCCTCCAAGGGGACAGCCCAGTTTGCAGAAGACAGGACCTGATGCACACTGGTGGCTTGAAAAACCCACTGTGGCCAAACTCAGGACTGTCACCTTTCTGCTGGCCTCCACACCACACAATAGGTGTCCCCAACCCTGCGGTGCAGTCCCAGACATTTAGTGCAACAATTGCTGCTCTCCCATCTTGCTCCACTTTGCTGACCTGGGGTGAAGGCACCAAACCACCTCTGGGAGCTTTGAAGATGTTGAATGCTGAGCACACGCAGAGTGCCTGTAACAGCTGTCTCCTCCCAGGTCCAGCCATCATTCCAGTTTGGGCATGGGGAAGACTCAGCTCAAGACAATGTGAGTTATTGACCAGCTTTGAGCCTGGAAGCCAAGAAAATCAGAATCTATCTCCAGTACCAACCCCTTGTGCTGATTTGGCTTCCCCCTCTGCCTGGCATTTATCATGCCAGGCAAGCAGCTCCTTCAAAGCTGTGAGACTGGTCCTACAGATGAGTCAGTGCCTCTTTTGAGTGCAGACACATTGGTGGAAGAATTCTGTGACACAGATGTAGCACCCATATTATTATCAGCTCTGCTCAGGATGGGGCATCATCTCCTTTTCTAATATATTTCCCTACTTGAGATTCTCTGGGCAATGTGGAGTAATAAATTCAAAGCACTCATAAAGGAAAGCGTGACAAAAGCCTTTCAAGCTTTTCCAAGGAGATGCACCTGATAAGGTGCCTTCTCAACTCACATTTAATGCTATTTAGGATTATAAAACAAAGGCCAAGGATGCTTCAAAGATAGGTACAGCTCTGCAAGAACACGTCTGGTAATTTGTTTTGCAATGCAGACAAATAAGATGAAACTATCCAGAACAGTGCTCTGGCCTCTCTCCCCCTTGACAGGTCCTGTGTCCTATCACCCCTCCTCAGCCTATTTTTGCCAGCCCCTCTGTGGAGATGGAGGTAACTGTGCCTAAAATGCTATGGCCTCATCATGCTACTAATTTGTTACTCATCGAGGAGAACCATCACTGCTTTCCAAAAGACAAGGTTTTTAATGGGGGAGGAAGCTCCCATCCTGATCTCTGGTTCAGGATCCAGAGGTTGAGGCAAGGTTTTTAAGGAAGGACCTTTGCTGAAGGACCTCATCTTTGAGGCTCTCACATGGCATCTCATCACACCACATTCAGGAGCACCAGGTAGGAACTTCTCATCCCCTTCCTCTCTCTGGGACAGATGAAGAGTTAGGTAGGAACTGGGAAACATGCTCTGCTCTTGTCAGCACTCAGAGGTGCTTCCATCTCACGTTTCTCAGGGCTGTGGAGCACCAAAGCTGTCAGGAACCAAACACATCTGCAGCATCCCACGGTCCTCATGGAAACCTGACTCTAGCGCTTTGTCTGGTCGTTAACAAGAACTTTGCTCCAAACTTTGTTTCCCTGGGCTGAAGTGGTGGAATCTGCAGGCAAAGCCTTTGTCTACCTGCACAGACAGCTAGACAGGCGTAGCAGGAGGAATGCAACAAACAGCTCCTGCCCTCTACAAAGCCTCAATGCATATCCTCCATCATGACATCACATCTTGATTGCTATGCAGAGCTCTCGATTATAATTTAAATCTCACATGCAGCCTCAAAGCAGCCCAGTTTGTGGAAAACAAATCCAAACAATGGCATATCTTCTTCCTTTTCCAAGACTGGGCAAAAAAATGTTTCAAGATGAATGCTGCTGCCCACATAATGTTTTTAAGTTCTGTCTTCTTGCTTCACCATGGCCTTGTATATTTCTTTTCTCCTGCCTTTAAATCCAGGCAAGTCACTTGCACAACAGACTCCCTCTTAAGAGTCATTGATTTAGGAGAAAACTGACCAAAAGCCCTTCCTTTTTTCCAATCTGAAGTACTGAGATCAGGATTGAAGCCAAATAATTTAAGCAGCTGCAGCTGATGCACTCTGCAAGGTGGCAAGTAAGTAAATCTCAAATCCAGGGAGCTTTGGAAAGGTGGGGGATGTCAGAAAGCTGTGCTTAAATAAAAATTATTATAATACTTTCATGAGGAAGAATAATTGGTGAAATGACAAAGAGACATTGAAAGAGCCATAGCATCTGGCAGATAGGGCCAGGAGGAGGGGGGAGAAAATTCTCTGCCATGGAAAGGTGTGAAAATTTCAGTCATTCACAAATATTCAATTGAGGTGGATCAGAGAAGATACCTTGGGGAAAGCAGAGATCTGTGGTGTTTCTGTTTTTTCAAACAAATGAGTTTCAAGTGTGAACTCTTGGTATTGTCTCATTTTGGGAATATTTTCCTGAAGATAATAACTTTCAGACCCAAGCCAGTGCTATCCCTGATAAACCAGTTAATAGATGTTCTCAAATCAGGCTCAGAAGCTTCACCCTGCTCAGCAAATACTCAACCTCCCCACAAGGTTGAGTGGCCAAGGCCACAAAAGGCTTGTCCAAGCCTTGAACTGTAAAGATGATACAGCTCTGCTCCTGTCTGAGAGGCAGCAAACATCCCCCTGCTTGTGGAGGGGTCAGTAAGCAATCTCTGTGTCTCCTGAGGGTGCAGGGATAGTCAGCAGTCAGCACTCGGGATTGTCCTAAGGATTGAGACAGCTCATGCAGGCAACTTTCTTCTGGGGAAGAACTAAAGGCTTGTTTACAATGTGAAAAATCCATGGAAAAACCCCATGCATTCCTGCATGCATCTATCTGTCTCCATAGATATATCCAGGCAGGGAGAGGTACTGACTAGTGTTATGGCTCCTTACAAGAAACCATCCTGCAGGTATGGAGAAGTGTTTTATCTTTGCCTTGTTGCTTTCTCCTACCAAGCAGGGTGAGTGAAGCCAGGGAAAGATGTCTCAGTCTGGCAGGCTAGATGATGCTCCATGCAGGCCATACGGCCCCCACGATTTCTCATGGTGTCCTACACTGGGCTTAGTTCCAGTCTCCTTCTTTCAACAGCTCCAGGCTAGTAGGACCCACCACATCCATGGTTCCTCAAGCCTGCCAGCTTGGGCATATTCCTGTCAGGATTTGCGGGAGATCTGCAAGGTTGCCCTTGTCCAGTTACTGTCCAGACTTGGCCCTCCCAGGGAC